AACATCACCCAGAATCGGTTACAATTTTATGGAACTTTACAACAAACACAGACAGAACAATCAAACCTAATTGCCCAGACATCAAAGATCAAAGACCACAAGAATAGAATTTGATTTCTTATTGACATGGCAGTACCTTCAGATTGTAATGTATCTTTGAAGACCTTAAAAAACTAACAAAATACAAGGATTTTGAAGTGGAAATCTAAAAAATGTGGTACAGGAGGACATCAATAATTCCAGTTGTAGGAGCCCTAGGTTTGATTGGAAAAGGTTTCTACGGACTCATGTCTTAAAAAAGAAATACAAAAAATTATACTCACACGTACACCTCACACATTAGGAAATGCTTTATCTATGTAAAATGTGTGTGATCTTTTATTTTCTTTTATTATCAGTGAAAAATGTCATAAAGCTATGTCTGACCTTAGGTCTCTTGTTGGGACCCGGAATGAAATACAACAGAAATTAAAGAAAATCAATAACAATTTCTTTAAAGAAATATTCCAAAATAATATGAGGTCTATCCTGGATATATCTACTCAGAATGTGAATTTAGTAGCCAGTCAGGGAAGACATATCTGCGCGTTCAAAAGCAGGCTCTTTCATATGGGATTACCCTGTTGGCAATGAGAGGCGATCGAAGGTTGACTATGCTGACTTATCTCAGGTGGCAACCACTGTAGAGTGAAAACTGAATTCAAAAACCACCTGAGGATAGGTGGGGTTCTATTAGGTTATTTTGCCCTAGACATACCCACTACTTCTATAAACAAAATGAATGCGGTGTGCCACTATGACCCTAATAGCCTAGAGGGCACTGGATTCAGTTGGATTACATAAACTCAAAGAAAGCTAAAGCTATGGTAAACAAATTTTCGGGGCTGGAGAGGGGGGCATGGTTTTAACATAGTAGTGTTTGAAAATTTCTAAACGTTTAAAGTTTTTAGCTAGTGCTTTGATTCATAAATATAATTTTAAATTGAACCCTAATTTATGTATCAATAGGGTGGAGTAATGGTTAACATCTCGGATTGAGGAATCAGAGTTCGAATTCCTGTCGAATCCTTTACATTCACTTACGTGCTAATACCCTGGGGGAAAGGAATGATTCCTCTTCTTCTCCCCCTCAGCTATGGGTAAATAGCAAGACAGACCAGATGGCAACTGCTCTACTGCAGAAAAGAAATGGTGACGTACTGAGGGAAAAAATCTGCCTCGTCAGTCATGTATCGAAAGATACATGATCGCGTAAGCGTATATCAACCATGGCACTGATGTTTAGCTAAACTGAACCTTTATCTGTTTAACCATATCTTTAAAGATGGGTTCAATTTACAATGTTTCTTTTTTAATCATTTCACCCCAAACAAGGCGGGAATGCCACTCGTATTTAGGGAGGTACAGAGAGTGAAGGTGAGAGAAAATATTGGGTATAGGGGGTGCAAGGAAAAGATAAAAGCTGAACGGGATTCAAAAATACAGAAGATGGCGATTGACGTTGCATTTAATTTTTGGGAGATTGTAGTTATCATGAAGGCAAGGAAACGAAAAGGAGTTCCACAGGTGGAAGTGTGAGAAAAGAAACTGTCGGAGTAGAAGTGGTGGTTACATTTCAAGAATTCAATAGGCAAAGGGTGGGACCTAAATGCCAATCTAGTAGCAGGCTTAAACTCACGCCGTCGGGACACCAGGGAAAAAAAAACTCGTCAGAGCAAGAGCGATGAAAAAAAGCTGGACACTTATTTTGTATCCATCAAGTTAACTAAACTAAATCTTTACCAGTTTAGTTATATTTTTAGAGTGGGGTTCAATTTACAGTGTAAATATAATGCTAAGCTGGACCTTTATTTTGTGTCCATCTAATTAGCTACACTCAATCTTTATCTGTTAGTTTAAACGTGTAAATAAATAAAACAAATAGCTGAAAATATACGAGCTAAAACCCAAAGTTATCAATTTTTGTTCATTTTTCTGTGTTTTTTTATGGTCACCGGGAAATCAAGATTTTTTTTTTTAAAAAAAAAAGAAAGAAAGAAAAAAAAGAGGATAGAATAAAAAAAAAAAAAAACCCAGCGTCTCTTGTCTTGTTAGGCTTCATAATCGTTCAGTTTATGCTTGTGTATGATCCTGCAAATAATAAAAGGCGGGACTAGACAATTCAGGATAAGTTTACACGACACATTTCTTTTGAAACAAAAGAGAGGCTCTTCTTACTCATATTTTAGAATTTACACATTTCAAAAAAAAAAAAAAAAAGACCAGTAAAGGCTTAGACTCAGTTGAAACGTAGCAAGCAATAACTGACTATTACTAAATGACAAAACAAGTTATCTCCCTTAGACATGAACAGAAGGACGGGAGCAATCTTCTCGTAGATTAAATAAAGTGTTGAGTTCTGATGTAATGGAATAAACAGTCACCCCTATGAATGATTACACTATAGGTAGTAAGTACCTACAAAGTCAACCGTCTACGAGAGACTTAAGGAAGAGTGAGAGCGAGACGACGCAAGCACGCCCGAACTTCCAGTTAGTGGCACTCACTACTAGATTGACCTATGTGTATAACTGTGCCGTTGATGTGCATATTGTGCTTGTTGTGTACAATAAACCTTTCTTCTATTATCCACCTGGTATTAAGTATTTATTCCCTTAGCACGGAATATAACAAGTTCGATATTCCCTGAAGGTTACTCATATTGACAAGCGCCTGATGAAAGCCGAAGGATATAACGACCGAAACGTCATGATCACAACAACAAAGATGAAGACATTAGTCAGAATGTAAATAGTGTAAACGAAAAAAATATCCAGTCAAAACAAATTTGATTTAAAAAAAAAAAGGGTTCATAATGGTGCTGATTTTCAAATCAGATAACTTTCAAGAACTTTTATGGGCTGCGTCTCTTCAGGACGTAGACGATCACGGTCCTCCACATCTTCCTGTCCCTTGTAGCTCATAATAATTTTCGCCTTTTTGTTATTTCCCCCAAACCCTTTCCTTAAACCCATCATGTATGTTATGCGCTGCTTTCCTCTGTCTCTCTTTCCCACAATCTGTTCCGTGAGTATCATGTTCTCCAAGCCCTCTTTCCTCATTACGTGCACCAGAAATTTCATCTGCTTCTTCCTGATGTTAAGTATAAGTTTCCTGTTTGTTTCCATTTTCTTCAAAAACTCGTCGTTGCTCACTTGTTCCACAGTGTCCTCGGTATCTTTCCCTGGCACAACGTTTCTGTTGCTTTAAATGTCGTCTTTGAGGAGACATAGTTGAAATTTTGTTGGTGCCAAAGGTTCTATTTATGTATTCCATTGTAACAAACTTAACATCCTACCCTACAAAGGGCGAGTTTTCAGCTAGCTGTTATAATTTGTAGCGTATTTCTGATACTGAAAGAGGTGTTTATGAGGGGATTTTTTTTATAGGAAGACAGACGATATTTTTAAGGTAAGAATGATTTAAGCGGGAAGACGGGCATTCAGAAGATGACTGGGTGTTAGGCGAAAGAAAAAAGATGGTGGTCGAATCAGAATTCTTCTCTGTCAATCTTTGACACGTTTTAAAATCTTTTGCTCGATTTCTAAACGCATTATTCAAATCTTAACGCCTGTTTGTGGACATTGATAACATTAAGATATACATTGACATCGAAAGACGAAGTGTGAGATTTGAAAGACATTTTAGCAATATAGTAAATTTGAAAGGATAGAATGGCGAAAAGAAATCAAACAGAAAAATAAGAAGAAATAATATATTAGACAAAGAAATAAATTTTAGAATGATAATGAAAGGAAAGACAAACAGAAAATAAATAATACAATGAAGGAAATTGAAAGGAAAGAAAAGATAAAAGAAATTAGGAAAAAAAACAGGTAAAAGTTTGAATAAATGGAATGTCAGTATCAGAATATAAAACGAATGGGAGGAATAAGAAAATGAATGAATGTGCGAATAAAAAAAATAATGAATATGAAAAGAGGGAGAAGAAACAACATATATAAGCATGAAAGATGAAAGTAATGAAAATAATATTGAACCAGTAGAATAATAATACAATAATAATAATAATAATAATAATAATATATATATATATATATATATATATATATATATATATATATATATATATATATATATATATATATTTTTAAGACATTTTATGTTATACATTCTTTTATAGATACAAATATTTAAGTAAATGCTCTGTTTATAATAAACAGTATCAAACAAATTTACTTAAATATTTTATCTATAAAAAAGAATGTATAAAACATAAAATGTCTTAAAATAATTGTTTGGACGTTGTCCATTTCATAATATATATATATATATATATATATATATATATATATATATATATATTATTTAAAATTTATTTAAAATATTTTTTTAATTTTGCACAGTTCTAACTATGTTTCAAAAATGAAATTTTGAAACATGGTTAGAACTGTGTAGCGAAAAAAAACATATTTTAAATAAATCAATTTATAATATTAATGCTCTGTAAATTTACATTGAGCACTATTTTGTAAAATAAAATATCTATAAGAACACCGGATTATATATCTTACTGTTTTTTTATATATATATATATATATATATATATATATATATATATATATATATATATGTGTGGGAAAGAATACAGAAAAAACAAACAATCAAGTTAACATGCAATTATGTTGGGTTAATGTTAATATAAAGTCGACGTCGGACGTTTCGGGTCATTTATATTAACATTAAAAATGCATAATTGCATGTTAAAAAATTTTTGTTTGTTTTTTTCTGTATTTTTCTTCATACTGTCGGATCTATATCCATATATTTGCTTACATATATATGTATATATATCTATATGCGTGGTACTTATTGAAAAGTACTCATTATCAGTGGCAGAGTTAACATAATCGCAAAAGCGTGAAACAAACCTATATCCATACAATTAAATATTGTATATTTTCAATTACAACCGTTATTCATTACACCACCCCCATATGCCTGATATTCCCAAGAGACCACCCATCTAGGTACTGACCAGGCTCGATGTTGCTTAACTTGGATGATCGTACGGAAGCCGATGTTTTAACGTATGGCCTTAAGCCTGTATGTTTTTTTTGTATGTGCGCGCATGCGCGCGCGCGTGTGTGTATGTAAGCCCTGGAAATTAGGGATACAACAGTGAAAGTATAAGACCTAGCTGTCAAAGACAGAGAGAGAAAGAGAGAGAGAGAAAGAGAGAGAGAGAGGGGATGAGAGAGAGAGAAAAAAGAGTGGGTGATATAGGGAGAGAGAGAGGGGAAATGAAGAGAGAGAGAGAGAGAGAGAAAAAGTGAGCGAGAAAGAGATAGAGAGAAAGAAGAGAGCGAGAAAGAGAGTGGGAAAGGGAGAGAGAGCGAGAGATAGAGTGAGTGAGAGGAGAGCGAGAGAGAGAGAAGAACGGTAATAAAAATGAAAAAAAGAACTAGGAACAAAATTAAAAAATGAGAAAGAAGAAAAATTATATTAATGAAAAGAAAAATGAATAAAAACGAAAAAGTTTAAAAAAGAATAAAAATAAGAAATATAAAAAAAGAAGAAAGAAGTCGAATGAAGAAATGAGATTAAATGAAACGGGGAAAAAAAATTGAAAAATAAATGTTTCGAATATCTTATTTTTAAACATTCAAATCTCGCAGAAGAACAATCATTTTTTTAAAAAGTTTCTTATTAATTATATTTGAAAGAATTTTGAAATGTTAAAAACGACTAATTATGTTTAAATATTTTTAAGTAAGGAATTTGACGTCATTGAGAAATATGGTCAGAATTAATTTCTAGATCATTGGAGAGAATTTCTTATTCTCGAAGCAAAATAAAAATATCTCATCACGGAAAGATATTAAAATTATTTTCAGTAAAACAGAAAAAAAAGAGAAAATACGGAAAACAAAGACATTCAGGTTTCCTTTCTTTTCTTGTAAAATTTTAAATTCTCTCTTTTTTTTTAACAATTTTGTTTTCAGTTCAAACTGAGGGAAGGTGTTACCATCAGATTCTCAATTAGATTATTAACCACCGCTGATAAATAATAAACAAAGATAAAAACAACTTAACACACACACACACACACACACACACACACACACATACATATATATATATATATATATATAAAAAATTCAAAAATCGTACGAGTCATACAGCAATCGCTATCACTTGAGTAAAATATTTTTGCCCTTCCTTGCCTTTAAAGGAGTGCCCTTTGCCGTGCTAATGTTGCTACATGTCTTACTTCTTGCCTATCTCACACTGCGAATTTTTTCTAAGCTCTATACTAAATATTAAATCTGTTACGAAAAAAGAACTAAAAAAAATGAACACAAAACGATCAGCTTTTAAGACTCGTAACTGGAAAAACCGAATGAAAAAAGAATGTTAACAACAAATACTTTTTCCCACCCAACCCAGTTCTACGGAATCAGAATCAACGTTGAGTTTAAGCAAGCGAATGAGCCAATTGAAGTAAAGTGCCATGCAGATTTAAATTTTTCCCACTTGTGAGGAATGCAGCTATTGATTTTTTTTGCATGCTAGCATGCTAGTTAACATTCGTGTCAATCAGCTGTTTGCTCTCACGCTGGCCAATAGAATCTTCCTGCCTATTCGTGGCAGCCAGCTATTGGCTCTCACTCTGGTCAGTAGAAAATGGCCGCAGACTACATGAAAACTGCCGTAGAAGCATGAAAAAATCGATTATTTACACTATCGATGGGAGTTGGGAAATGCAAAGTCGGTCTTGGCCTTCCCGCTACTTGGAGCATGTGCATGTAAATTTTGGTGCAAATCCGTCAAAAATTGCGGCCGTGCATTCGTTACACACACACACACACACACACACACACACACACACACACACACACACACACACACACACACACACACTGCCTTTTATAGATAGAGATATAAATTTAAAAGTGGACACTAATGTCAATACCGAATGGCGACAGTCTATTTCGTGCTTGAACGCAATCTTCTGGTCAAAGTATTTCGTTCAGTGATGAAACATTGTCGCCACTCGGTGCTGACATCAGTGTCCACTTTTATATTTACCTACGCTCGATCTCTGATATTGAGCACTTTCTCGCATAAAAAATACCTAAAAACTATATATATATATCTATATCTATATATATATATATATATATATATATATATATATATATATATATTGCTATGCGCCCTTTTTGCCATATGAGACAGTGTCGATATAGTCAGCAAGTAGAAATATTGTCTATAATTATGTTCTATAGATATAGTGACGATTGCCAGAAAATGAGATCCCATTTCTTGTGACTTTTCCTATCTTGTGAGAATTGAATTAATCTTTATCGTTATTGGTATTTTAAGATTCCGGAGAAGCTACCATATTCCATATTCTTGAAAACGGTCCTGTTATGCATCGCGTTAAAAGAAGAAAAACAAAATAGGAACAATATTCGCTAGTTTCTTGGAAGAATGAACATTTTTGCAGAAGTTCATCTTATAGAAAAGATACCACATTCAATATTGCCCGACGAAATTCATTCGGTGAATTTATTAGATTTAAGGGGAGGGGTTACCTGCCTTGAAAATCGGCATTAAAAATGTTACCTTTCAGCTGGGTGCAAAACTGACATGACAGAACAGGTCCACTATAATCTTGATCTAGATGCAGGGCCGATGCGTACTACCCATGAACCCTCCGACCGCGGCAGGGGGTGGATTGAGTGTAGGTTCCAGGCAGTATTTTGAGACCCTTGCTATCTTATCAACATTTACTTTTTTTTCTACTTACATTTACATATGTTACAAATTAAACTAAGCACAACTGACTATTTAAGGACCTAAAATATTTCCGCGGATTTTGACATCATTCGGGTTTTTTTGTTTGTTCAAGAAATGAATTTGTTTTGCTCATACTAAATCTATAAAAAAATATATAAAATTCACTATTTTTTATACGTAATGTTCAATGTGTTAACAATGCGTTCCTGAATAATTTTAGTCCTTCGGTCTGATCTCCTGAGTCAAAATTCGTAAATAATTGGTATATAATGTTACACGGTAGATATAAAAATAGTTACAAGTGTTTACCCACCGTTCAACCGGTGGCATGGTATTAAGTCATTTTTCTCTACCACCGTTCAACCGGTGGCATGGTATTAAGTCATTTTTCTCTACCACCGTTCAACCGGTGGCATGGTATTAAGTCATTTTTCTCTACCACCGTTCAACCGGTGGCATAGTTTTAAGTCATTTTTCTCTACCACTGTTCAACCGGTGGCTGGGCATTATGTCATTTTTCTCTACCACCGGTAAAGCGGTAGTCAGGGCTCAAAGGTTTAAATTATTCAAGTTTGTAACAAGAAAAAATCTCAAGTTGATGTTATAAATTGCCGCAAAACAGTCGATTTATTTAAGATGGAATCATCTCTTATGACATGTCTCTAATTTGTATTTACTACTGTACTGTACTGTACTGATGCGGCATTCACCCTGGGCGGATTGAGCCGGCTTCTTCCCGTTATGAGAAGAAGATTCTTGGGATAAATTACAGAAGTAGGGTACCCAGGCCTACTCGGATAAGGAGCGTCTGCATCGGTAACCGGCGGCTTCTGGTCGTTCCTGTCTCTGCGTCTGTGGGAATCCCGCGGCAAGCAAGAACGTTATCCGAATTTGTATTTAGATACATTGAATTTATTTTCAATTTTTCTAGTTGAATTGTTCACCTATATTGCATATGATCCATTATTGTACATAATTAGGTTACAAAAAAATGTGTATTTTATATGAATACTATTTTATGAAAATTGAGATATAATAGAATTGGGGTGTGTGTATCATAGATTCATGGTGGGCGACTCGAAGGCCTTGCACTGGCTCTGGGTAGATGCAATCAAATAGTAAACCATTAATTGGTTATCATACTGTCAGAGTGAAAGGGTTAATGAAAGATTTTTGAGAAATCTATTTGCAATTCCGATTCAAATCGCTTTGGCAGAGAGACAGGGTTAAAAAGTGAAGTTTCTTCAAAGATACATTTCTAGTAATATTTTTGGTTAATTATAATTTGCTTAAAAAATGTCTGGCAACAAAAAAAAAAAAAAAAACTCAAGAAAACTTCGTGGCTTTGTTTTGGTCTGGAAATCATCGTTAATTTTAATTTTTCCACAAAGGCAATTTTCCGTTTCTTTTATCTTTAAATAAAATTATTTTTTGAGATTATTTTTTTTTAACAACCACTACAAAGAAAACTCAACGATGAAACATAAACTCTGAAAACATTTGGCAAAAATTAAACACTGAACTCTAACTTTGCTATATGTCGCTCTTTCTTTCACCCTTCGACACACACACACACACACATGCACACAAAGACACACACACACGCATATATGCATAAACTCTCTTCCTGCTCTCTCCATATATATATATATATATATATATATATATATATATATATATATATATATATATGTTAGTGCGTGTGTGTGTGCGTGTGTGTAAAGTTCTCAGCGCAACCAAGAGGAAATTCCCCAAAACATTTTGGCATTTGGTCAGGTTTGGGAAGTGTATCTGAGGATATAATGAACCGAGCGTGTGAGCAACGGTGAGGTCTTGGAGAAGATGCATACAAGGAGGAGGCTTATACTTAACATCAGGAAGAGGCAGCTGAAGATTCTTGGATACGTAATGAGAAAAGAAGGCCTGGAGAATCTGATACTCACAGGTCGAATAGAAGGAAAGAGAGACAAGTGAAAGCAACACATGGCCATATCTGGCGGAGTTGAGCAAGTGGATGACAGAACGTGGTCTGGGGGAGGTGGCAGAGGGACCAAACTTATTGAGAACAACAAGGGAGAGGGAGAAGTGGAGAGCCATGATCGCCTACGTCCTGAAAGGACGCAGCACAGAAAAAGATAAAAAGATCGGGGCGAGCATATTTCACCAAATTCCCCACACGCGCGTACACACACACACGCACACAAACATCTATCTATCTATCTATCTATCTATCTATCTATCTATCTATCTATCTATCTATCTATCTATGCACACGAAACATCCAATCT